GCCCCTGCCGCCGCCGCCGCCGCCGCCGCCCGCGCTGCTCGAGGGCGCTCTGCGTTGCGTCAGCCGCGCCAGGCAGCGGCTCAACAGGTGCGGCTTGGCTCTCCGCGAGCGGCCGCCGCTTGCGCTTCCTCCCGCCTCGTCCGCACGTGGACCGCGGGAGACCAGCTCTGCCCGCGCCTAGAGGCACTTTTCTTGGCGGGGCCCCTCCCGGAGCGGGTTCGGCCCGGAAACCGCTGCTGGCTCCGACCGCATCCTCCTCGGCCGCAGGTAGAGAAGGGTGGCTGGGCTCACCTGCCCCAGGCAAGCCCCGGACAGGTCGCTGCCCTGTGTGCTCTGGTGCGGGGGGGTGGGGGTGGGGAGGGGGTTGGTTGCATCATGCCTCGCCTGCAGCTGCAAGAGGGGCTCTGGTCTCCTCCCCCCGCCCACCTGCTTACCTGCCTGCTGCATCTTGGCCTGTGGTGGGGACGGCGCTTCCTTCCCGCCACTCTCTGTCCAGCATCTATTTCGCCCCTTCGTACAGGCTGGTAAGGCAGGTTCCATTTGACAGCTGTCTGCACTGGAACGCTCTGTAGGTTGTACCAGGTAAGAAGTAACTTCGGGTAGAAATTGTGTATTCCTGGAAGCATCAGCTGAGGTTGTAATTTATAGCAGAACTTGCTCACAGTTTTTGACATGCTGAACAATGAACAGATGTGATCTTACTAATGGGCATTAATATGTTTGTGATAGTTTACTGCAAGCCTTAACCTCCCTCAGTGCCTGAAAAGCTGCTTTTCTCTGGGTTCTTGCAATTTCTCACCCCTCCTCTGGCTTGTCTTGCTTTCCTCAGTGTATTTCCTTGCTAAAGTGTTCTCCGAACTGCTGAAGAATGTTGAAGTCACTCTCTTGAAACCTCCTTTGCACCCATATGTCACTGCCAGGTATTATGTGTGCCTGCATTTCACTTCAGACATGCATTTTCTGCTTTAAAATGTGGAAACTCGCCCAGTGCTCATTTTGACAGAATATAGGTAAGGTCTAGTCCACTAACCAGAGTGACTGCAGGCAAAAAAGGTAACTCTCCCCCAAGAGGACTGCAGTTCCCAGGATCCCCTGCCAGCCTGGCCAATGGGCAAGAATGCTGGGAATTGAAGTCCTCAACATCTGGAGCTCCACTGCCTGCCCACTCTTGGATTGGAGGACCCGACAGTGTCCTCCTGCAAGTGGGAGCTGGGCAGGTCTCAGGGAAGGAAGCCGTTGTCTCCCGCCGGGGCTGCCACTTGCCCGTCGCGCCAGAATGCAGTCTTCTCTGGGACTACCTCGCCTGCCTATCTGTTGTGCTGCCGGCTGCCGCCTGCCGCCTGGCGCCATTGCCATCTCTGTGGGTGGATCTCCATTCCCTGTTGCCCAGGCTAGTGTGGCCACTTGCCAAGCTGCCTGGGGTGGGAGGCAGCTCGACCTCTGGACTGATGCACGGGTGACGTGAAATTCCCCCTCCTCCAGTCCGAGTCAGTGCCTTTGAGCCGGGACCGGCCGGCTTCTAGGAAATTTCTCGGGCACGTTCTCGCTTCAGTCGCAAGCTGAGCACAAAAGACTGGGGCGCCACCCAGCGCGGCCCTCGGCTCGGCCCTGCATTTCCGATGGCATCTGTTGCGGAGTTCGGTCCGCCAGGCGCGGAGGAGTCATTGCGCTCTCTCCAGCCCCCCGGGTGGCTCCTGCGCCACCCCACAGGTCACGCCCCATGCAAAGAACAGCCTGCAAGGAAGCTGGCCGCAATGGGTGTGGGGACAGGTGGGAAGAACTGGCATGCTTCCCCTCGGGGGCGCCTGGCCGAGGAGGCAGCTGCTGGCCTGGTGCCCGGTCCGGGTTCAAGGCTTCCAGGAAGCCCTGGGTCCCAAGCGCACTGGCAGGCGACGGCTCCGCAGTCCCGCTGCAGCCCCTCCTTGCTCTGCGCGGGGCGTGGCTGCTCTTCCTGATGGGAAGTGCCTGCCCAGCTTTGCAGTTCCTGAGGTGCTACGGGAACGGGATGTGGAACAGAACAAGGGCCTCCCGGTGGCTCAGTGGGGCGCTGGAATAGGCTTAACGAGATCTTGGGATCCCACCTGCTCCGTTTTCCTGCTATTGTGACCTGTGGTCCCTCAGGAATCTTTGAGTCCAGAGATGGGGCAAGCCGTTGGCCCTCAGCACATCTTTAGGGAGGCTGAAGAGAGCTGAACGGCTGATGGGGCAGGCGAAAAGCACAATCGGCAAGCAAGTGAACCCCTGGCTTGCTTCGCCGCGCACGTCCACCTCTCCACGTGTTGTGCGGCATTGCAGTGGGCGCCACAGAAGCCCCTGGCGAGTGCGCAAGGCCAGCTGGGAGCAGTGCCCTCCAGCGCTCCCTGGACTCTCTGTGCTGGGAGCCGGAGCACGACGGGGCTGCTTCACAAGCGTGCGAACACCCGTGTTGGATCAGCCTGGAGGGGGCCCATCCAGGCCAGCATTTTGTCCCCATGGCGGCCAGCCGGTTGGATGGGGTGCGGCGGCAGCTGGGTTCTAGTGTTAACCGGAGAGGGTGAGAGAGCCTGTCCCACTTTCCTCTCCGGACCTAATTTTGTACACTCCGATCATGTCTCCCCTCATTTGAATCCAGACCAAGGCAGCTTCCCACTGACAGTATTTCATGCAGTATAAAAAGAGCCCTGAGGCGGGACCAAGTCACACGGCAGCTACCCAGCTGCCCGCTGGGAGCCTACACGCAAGGGGGGGCAGCAACCGCTGCCTGCTCAAGTTCCCCCACAGTGGACCGAGGTACACAGGCCCCCCGATATATTGGAGGTGGCACACAGCCAGTCGGATCAGCAGCCACCGGGGGCCTCATCTTCCACAAGTTTGCCCAACCTGCTTTTAAGGTGCTGAAATTCGTGGCCAGCACAGCATGCTTTATGGAAGCAAATTCCATGGTTTACCTCTGTGCTGTGTGATCTCACAGTTTCCGCTCTCCCTAGAACTGTCGTCGGCTTTAGTAGCTGATAGTAATTGGGCAGAACCTCTAGAATATGGCCAGGCATTGCCTCCCCAGTTTTTCCCTCGGATCCATTCGCCTTTGACGGAACCCAAGAATGCTTTTCCTACTGGCATGTTTTTCACTCCAGTGGCAAACACTGGTTTGGAGCTCTTCCCCAGCTGGAGGATGGAAGCCTGTGGCAGTGGTCACACAAACAGCTACTTGAGCTGAAGGAAACCCTTGAATGCGCTTGAGCTACGCTGATTGTGGCTCAAAATGGTGCTCGGTTCCTTCGGCCTGAATGGAACCAGGTGTGCGCAGTGTGTGGAGAGCGAACTGCATCATCTGCCAGGTTTTCAATTGCTTGTATGATGAAAGGGAAGCCTGCACAGAGGATGTTGCTCCTCTTCTTCCTGGTGAGAAGATGGGGGGCGGGTTCAGATCTTTTCTGTGACACTCTCATTTCATGTCCTTCTGGCGCAGTTGACTTTCAAGCAGGCCTCATTAGCACTGCATTGTAGATTAGCTCCTCCAAATTCTCCCAGCTATGTGGCTGTTCCGAAATGCCTCAAAGCTGCCGGAGAGTCAATTACAGTTTCGGAATGGGTGACTGCCGGGTGGGACGTCTTTTCTAGAAGTGCTTTCACTGGCTTCCAAAGAAAACCTCTTCTTGATTTTGATGTTAATTTCTATGCACCGTCAACAACAAGGGGAAGTGAGTACAGTTGCAGTGTTGGGGCTTCCTGGTCTGAGCCTCAGCCGGGGTGGGGTGGGGTGGGGGGCTATATATAATGGGAGCAGGGGTAGTGCTGCAGGGAGGTTCTGGACACAGGAAATGGGCTGGAGATATGCAAATGCAGTTAAAGGAGGTAAAGCCTGCCGTTACTTTAGATAGAGGCTTTGTTTGAAGAGGGGGCACAAGGTCTATAAAGCATTTCAGTCTAGGATTCTGGTTTTGCTCAACTGGTGTTCTGATCCTCCCGATTTCTCAGACTAGTAGCAAGGGGAATGCACTTTTATGAACAGGATAGTGGGAGTGGTGGAGGGCAATAGAACAGTTGGCAGTTGGGACCCATCAAGCCCAACTCCACTTCCTTGCGTGGTCACCTACCTGGCTGCACCTTCTCTAGGCTAAGGTGGACCAGCCAACATAACTTTATTTGTCGTGATCCATCTGCTGAAGCCAAAACCATGTTTCATTCCATGCCCACGGCAGTGCCTGTTTGTTGTCCTACCTGTATTCTGGTGACACAGAAATTTCCTGTGTCACCACAGGGCCAATCCTGTTCAATCTTTTCATAAATGACATGGAAGAAGGGCTGAACAGTCTGCTGATCAAATTTGCAGACGACATTAAACTGGAGCAGTGGCCACAACTGAGGAGCAGGTACTCCGGATCCAAAAGGATCTGGACAGACTATGGAAGTGGGCAGGAGACAACAGGATGGCGTTCAGTGTGGAGAAGTGCAAGGTCTTGCACTTGGGGCATAGGAATGGGGGTCATAAGGACAGGTTAGGGGACAAGTAGCTGGAGAGCAGCACTTGTGAAAGGGACCTCGGGGTGCTCGTTGACTGCAGGCTAAACATGAGTCAGCAGTGTGATGCGGTGGTCAAGAGGGCGAACACCACACTTGGTTGCATAGCCAGAAGTGTGGCTTCCAGGTTGAGAGAGGTATTACTACCACTCTATACGACTCTGGTGCTCCCGCAACTGGAGTATTGTGCTCAGTTTTGGGCCCCTCATTACAGGAAGGATATAGCCAGGTTGGAGTCAGTGCAGCGTAGGGCCACAAGGTTGGTGGCTGGTTTGCAGGGGATGCCGTATGAGGCGAGACTGAGGGAACGGGGTCTTTTCAGCCTGGAGGAGACTCAGGGGGGATCTGTTGGCAACATACAGGTGTGTGAGGGGGTGCCACACGGAGGTGGGTAGAGACCAGGGATCAGCAACCTTTAACACTCAAAGAGCCATTTGGACCTGTTTCCCACACAAAAGAAAACACCGGGAGCCGCAAAACCCTTTTGACATCTAAAATGAAGATAACACTGCATATATCATTTTTTACCTTAATGCTATGTATATCTTCATTATGATTTAGCTGCAGCTCTTGTTTAGTCACTAAAAACTGTTATTTTTAATCTTACATTATAAACTAGTAGAACTCCTTTCATATATTTTGAATAGGAGAGCAGCTTTCTGAAGAGTCAAAGTCAGTGCTAAAGGGCTCCATGCATTAAACAGCAAACCCCATAAGTTCGTCAGCAGTAAAAGCAAATGAATCTACCCACGTACCATTACACGTTT